GTGAGGCACCACTGCAGCTGTGTCCCTGTTGTCTGTGCGGGGTGGGCTGGAGTAAGCTGACCGTCCTTTAAGTGCTCACAGAGCCATGGGGTGCTGGTTAGGGGTACCTGGGTATCTTGAGTTTCTTCATCCACTTAAGTCCCTGCTGATAAACAGTTCATTCTGGCTACCCATTGGCTCCAGCTCTCTACACATCTGATCTTGACCTTATCTTGTCTTGGGAAGCCTGGTCACTCTCTGGCCTCTTTCTGTACTCAGCCTCACTGCCACCTTGTGATCCCTTTGTCCAGCTCTGTCATCACTAACCTCAAAACTCTAAGATGGCAGTTCTCAACCTGTGGGTCATGACCCATTTGAGAGGCCACATATCAGATATCTACATCACGATTCGCAACAGTAGTGAAATTAGAGCTGTGAAGTAGCAGTGAAATAGTTTAGGGTTGGGGTCACCACAGCAGGAGAAACTGTGTTAAAACGTCACAGCTTTAGGAAAGTTGAGAACCAGTTCTGAGAGCTGGAGAAAACAGTGCGGCACTCTCTCTCTCCTCTTTCCATTGTTACCAGTGGACAGTCCACCAGGAGAGGCAGGTCTGGGGTCATTTTTTTCTCCCTGACTTTCTGTGTGGCAGTCTGTTGAAGTGAAGGGCGGGGCTGTTGTCTCTGCACAGGATAAAGAATGCTGGTAAGAATGATTCTGGGGCCCAGCCAGCTGGTGATGATTAGCTTGCCATCCAAATGTGGCTCAGAGAGCCCTTCTCTTCTGGGGCCAGTGGCCTTTTAGACTTCTACTGTGGCGTCTGCCTTCCCTGGTGTTTGTGCTGTTCTGAAATCACACGTCCCCGCCCCACTCACAGGTGAGATTGACCCCAGTAGAGCCTTAGGGTAACCCCCATGCGGCTCTTGTCCCAGAGTACCTTATACTTCACAAACACATAAAAAGAAATTTACTGGCCCAAAACAGTACCTACAACTGGATTTGGTGGGCAGACATCCAGCATGTTGTAGTTTCAATCTCTGTTGAGGTGTCGTGGGTGGCAATGACTGTCCCTAGAGCTCAGTGTGTTCCAGAAGAATGCTGGAAGCTCGTTCAGGGTGTTCAGAAGTCAGGTCCTTGCAGTGATAGAGCTGAGGCCCCTGTCCTTGTCAGCACCCAGGTACTCCTTCCCCAGAGTCCATTATCGTATTGCTCCATTCCTGGGTCTGCTCAGGCACTCTTTGTTCCTTGGGCCTGTCATTTGGCATCTAACTTCTGTCTGACTTCTGTCCACTCTATAGTCAGTTTGTCTCTGCCTGTGATTGTCCCCAGGATGGTGGCAGGGCTCTTCAGTGTCATGGCACTCTGTAGGTGCTACAGCAGATTTTCAAGTTTTAAGGGAAACAGAATCTGTCAGATACTCATTTTGGAATGGACCAAGAAAGTTTGGTGGGGATTTCCCTGCCCTATGACCTTGGGACTGCCCACATCTGTAAGTCCACATATGAAACATCAGGTGCTGGGCTCCTGCCCTCAGGCCCGCCCCCCCCCCATGGCTCGCCCACCTGCCCCTCAGATTCCAATCTTCCTTCTCTGCGTGTTCACCTTGGCACAGTGAAGCCCCTTGTCACTCCACAGCACCCTGGTCACTGAGTTTTACATGTCCATCATCGCCATCTGGTTGAGTGGCTACATCCAGAGATGGCCATGTCTTTATATCTGGGTTGATAATCGGTCTTCCTGACTCGGGCCTACTCTCATGTCTTAGTGGGCCCCTGTCTTCCGGGAGGCCCTGGGGCCTGGGGTGGGTGTGCCCCTCACCCAGGAACCGCCTTTCCTTCTGCAGCACTGTAACGGCGTTGACTGGCGGCAGAAGTTGGACTCTCAGCGTGGGGCTGTCATCGCCACTGAGCTGAAGAACAACAGCTACAAGCTGGCCCGGTGGACCTGCTGCGCTTTGCTGGCTGGATCCGAGTACTTGAAGCTCGGGTGAGACTGGTGTGGGTGCCGGGGCAGGCCTGGGGCAAAGGCTGCTCGCCCCTTTGCTTGAGAGCAGCAGGCCTGGCATTACCAAGGGACTGCACTGGCCCCGGGCATTGCCATCTCTGTGCGGCCCTGTATGACCACCACCGTCCTCCCCCACAGGTATGTGTCCCGGTACCATGTAAAGGACTCCTCACGCCATGTCATCCTGGGCACCCAGCAGTTTAAGCCCAATGAGTTTGCCAGCCAGATCAACCTGAGCGTAGAAAACGCCTGGGGCATCCTGCGCTGCGTCATTGACATCTGCATGAAGCTGGAGGAGGGCAAGTACCTCATCCTCAAGGACCCCAACAAGCAGGTCATCCGAGTCTACAGCTTGCCTGATGGCACCTTCAGCTCCGAGGAGGATGAAGAGGATGAGGAGGAAGAAGAGGAGGAGGAGGAAGGTGGGCAGAGTGGGCCTCTGAAGCCTGGGTGGTCTGAGGGCTGGTGAGGGAACCAGGCTGGTGCTGTGGTCACTTAGCTTCCTGGCACTTCCTGTGGGGTGGCACTGCCAGTCACCTAAGGAGACTAGGGAAAGCATCTAGAGAAGGCCCTGGGCAGCTGTTGAGAGGAAGCAAGGCCATGCAGATCATGACCGGAAAGCCTCACTGGTGGCTACAGAAAGTTGCTCAGCCCTAGAAGGGGCAGGAGGGTTCAGCAAAGAGGAGGCCTTCAGCAGTCCAGTTCCTCAGAGGGGAAAGATGCGTTGCATCACATGGTGAGGCTCACTTCTCTTGATGTTTTTGTCTTTCAGAGGAAGAAACTTAAATTTTGAGTTGGTTTGATGCCCACGTGTGTTCACCCGCCGTGCTTGGGCAGCGTGTATGTGGCTCCTACTCTGTGGCAGATGGAATAAAGTTTAAGTCTGTTTGGTTTCTTTCCTTCGTCCTGTGTTTCCCTTATGACCTGCAGCCCTTCCTTCTCCCAGCAGTTCCTGTAGCCTTCTGGCTGCCGTTCAGGGTTCCATCACTGCTGGAGCACTGTGAGAACTGCGTTCCCTGTAGAGGATGAGGCCTCTGGTGTTGGTTTCAGAACCCCATGACATGCCCCTTTCATGCAGTTTGAGGTGCCTTATGGAGGGAGAGCCCCCACAAGGAGTCCTCCAGCCCTAGAATAACCCAGCTGGTGTCTTCAAAGTTTACTGTCTCCAGGAGCAGGGTGTGGTGGGGTGGTGGCCCTTCTTGAAGAAGACAGCTTCAGAGTCTGCTGGGTGGTGACGCTAATGATTTCTGAGGTTGGCTTGAGCTGGAGAAAGTGTCTCCAGCCAGTCTGCACAAAGCAGTGTGTCACATGAGAACTGCATATGTTTAAAGGCAGTGTAGGCCTCTCTGTGAGTGCTGTTCTGAACACTTTAGTAATTGTCCCACCTGGGTAATCGCCCCAAGCTTTCTATAAATGGCCTCACCTGCCCCTTCAGAACTGGAATGTGGGTGGAAGCAGAGCTATGTAGATAAACAGGTTCAGTATTGGGATTGCCTTCCTGAAGATGCAGGTTACATCAACATAGCTGACCTTCAAGAATCCAGCAAAGGATGCTGGGTTGTCACCAGGGGTACCGGGAAGCAGAGCAGAAAACAGGAGTTTCTGAAAGTTTCACTGTAGCCCAGGAAAGTCTAATTGGCAGCATCTCTGGCTACAGGTTTTTAATGTAGGGTGCAAAGAACACAGAGTGGTGTGACAAGTGTCATGACCTTCTGGAATGGACTAGAATCCAGATCTTTAGCAGAACCCGTGGCCTAATCCACCAGCAAGAGCTCCCTAGGTGTTCATCAGAAGCTCCCATGGTTCTGCCCTGAGGGTAGTAGATCAATGGTTAGGAACCCAGCTCCGCAGCGCAGTCTGGTTTGAGGCTGGGGTCCTAGCCAGCATTTCATTTCCATCACCAAACCAACTTTCAGGTTCTAGTTCCCTCTGGCACCCGCACATCTCCATAGCAGCTATGAAAGGACATAGTCTGCCTTATTTTGGGTGCGGTACTTTGCCATAGCTCCGATAGACTGAAGTCTCCACAGTGACTACCAAGTAGTTTGTGCCTACCCCCAGGAGTTTTTCTTGCTTTGGTGCAGGCTGTAAAAAAAAAAAAAAAAAAAAAAAAAAAAGCAGCTGCATTCCTGGCTGTGATTTCATCAGGACAATCATAAAGGTATAAATTTTAAAGGCAAATGAGGAAAACTTCAGGTGGGCGGAGTTCCAAAGAAGGCCTCCAGAAGCACTGCTCCTTTTTAATAGGAAGCAGCTCCAGCCATGCAAAGCTGTAGAAAAGTCCTTCCCAGCTCTTTTCCCTAAGAAGCCTCGGCTTTGCTTCACTGCAGTCTGCGTCAGCCTGTGAAGGTAGGTCTCTGTTCTTCACACAGTCACATAGTATTCTTTCTAACCAGGTAACCCACCCTGAGGAGGCCAGCCTGGAGAATCAAATCATCTTCCTCCTTCCATTCTTCTTGCCTACACTGGGTTTCAAATTGAGACTTTGGTTTTAGGATTTAGAAACGGGATCTCCTCCCACTCGAGGCAATCCCCTAACTCATTCTCATGACGGTTGGGCTTACAAGAGTGAGCCATCATGCTGCCTCAAAATCCGCTTAGCTGTGGTCTTGTACAAACCATGTCACTTCTAAATGTGTATTGACAGTCAGTTACAAGGTGCTGGAAATTGATTCCCTTGCCCACCCCTCTGACAACTGGACGATTAAGTTTCTGTTTCAAATAATTGGTTCATCTGTCTTGGCCCCGTTATTCATCGGTCCCAAAACACTGGCCATTTAGTCTTTGGCTACAGTAATAAAGAGAGATAAATGCCAAGATTTTCTCATCTCTGGCACGTGGATTAGTACAGATCAAAAGCAGAGGCCTGGTGTCCCGTCACAGACCTGCTGTTCCCCTGGGTGCCTCTACCCTCAGGAACAGCGCTCTCAGCACGTGCGCGCACTCCGGCCCCGGCCACCCCACCGGTCCCGGCGTGCCGCGCGTGGCGCACGTGACCCCGCCCCCTGCCATTGGCCAGGAGGGGGAGGGGCGTGGCCGCCGTGGCGCGAGCCAGCCGGAGCTGCCCTCCCCTGCAGCCTGCGGTGGGAGCATCGCTGGGCCACCGGCAGCGGCGTGCGGGTCGGGAGCGCAGCCTGGGCACCGCGCACGCGCCAGAAGCAGCGCGGGGTAGCGGAGGCTGCGGCAGGTGTGCCGGGGCATCCTCATGTGATCCAGGGGGCTGGGGCGGGGCCTTAGAGGCCACACCTCCTTCAGGTTTCCCCCACCCACCCCCAGGGTCGAGGGTGGGTGTGCCTCTGCAGGGTCCTAGCTGGGGAGACCCCCAAAAATGTAGGGCACATCCAGAAGGCTTGGCAATTGGGGAAACTGCCTCTCCCCTGGGATGGAAGTTACCATGACAATAAGGGAGTCTTGGCGCCCTGGGAAAGAAGACTGTGGAGATGAGCTGTGGGGATTCAGGATTCCTATGGGCCCTTGATCCCACCTGGACGGGATGGAGGAATGATAGATGAGCCCCTAGGTCTCGGGGCTCGGTCCTGGCCCCGCCCCGGGTCCGTGGGAGGCTCAGGCGCGCCCCGGGTTTCTGGTTCCTCAGGAAAGTCGGCTGTCACCTGCTGCCAGCTACGAGGTGCGAGGCCTCCCCTCTGCTGCGCGGCAGGATGGGGCCCTCGGGGCTGCTGCTGGCCCTAGTCCTGCACCTGGCGGCGTGCTCCCGTCCGCACCGGGACTACTGCGTGCTGGGCGCGGGTCCCGCGGGCCTGCAGATGGCCGCCCTCCTGCAGCGGGCCGGCAGGGACTACGAGGTGTTCGAACGCGAGTCCGCGCCCGGCAGCTTCTTCACGCGCTACCCGCGCCACCGCAAGCTCATCAGCATCAACAAGCGGCACACCGGCAAGGCCAACGCCGAGTTCAACCTCCGCCACGACTGGAACTCTCTGCTCAGCGACGACCCACAGCTGCTCTTCAGGCACTACTCGCGGGCTTACTTCCCAGACGCCAGCGACATGGTGCACTACCTGGGTGACTTCGCGAAGCGCCTGGGGCTCCACGTGCTATACAACACGAACATCACCCACGTGACTCTGGACAAGGATCCACAAGCCTGGAATGGCCATCACTTCATCCTGACCGACCAGAACGGCCAGGCTTACCAGTGCAGGTAAGGACCCCAATTGACGGAGCTGGACCTCACCCAGAATCAGGACGTCACTGAACTGGCCTCGAGATCCGAAAGAATGGGAGAAAGGGGCACCACTTGCTCCCACTGGGGCTCAGTGCCGGGGTTTGGTACAGCGAGCACTTTCTAAGGTATGTCCTTACAAAGCTGTAGCTGAGTATGTCTGGAAAATTCTAACAATTGACCCTCTAGCATTTACCAGGCTTTATTGCCTTCTCTATGATCCTCTGGTGTTGGGTACTGCATATAAGCATAGCTTGTACCCACAAACCCTTGCAGGCAGGTCCAGCCTTTGATACTGCAACACTACATTGTCATCTTCATGATTCAAGTGCAAAAACCATGTCGTCAAGTTACAGAGCACACACACATACACAGCTCTCATGTTTTAAATAAGCTTTGCCAGTTACGTTGGGCCACATTCACAGCTATCGTGGACCCCATGTGGCCTAGAGACCATGGGTTAGACACACCTGATAGTTTCCTAAAATAAGTATCTCCAAAACCCATGCTGAGAAAAGCAGGGTGAAGTGTCCAGCCAGCATTAGACACTGGCCAGTCAGATTTCAGAACAGAACCAGAGCAGAAGTCCAACAAGCATGGCTTCCAGACACCAATGTTACCTTGCTTTGGCTGGGAGGCAGTATGTGGGCACCTCAAACTTGTTCAGGCCTCACAAGAGGATGTTCCCTAATTCCCGTTTTGCAGGAGCAGAGCTGAGGCTCAGTGACCTTGATCACCATGCTGTGTCACACCGCTAACATGGCGGGGCTACATTTGGGCTGGGATTTTGCTGACACCTAAGCCTCTGTTCTTTCTGCTACTCCAGGCTCCCTTCCTGGCTGTCAGCTTCACTCCTGACTCCAGACAAGGGTAGACCTTCTGTTCTTCTGTTCCTGCAGCCTGGAGAAGGGGGAGTGTCCCGACTGGGACTCTGGGGTTTTAGGTAGCTTCGTTAGGGTAGAAAGGAGTGAGGAGCAGAGAAAACAAGGGCCTGTTCCCTGTATGTGTCCCTTCAGTGGATAAGTTCTACATGAAAACTACCCCGTAGTCAAACTATTCTGCAGTCAGCAAAATCCAGAGAGCCGGCTGCCACACACACACACACACACACACACACACACACACACACACACCGCTGTAATCCCCACCAGTATAAAGAGCAGAGCTGGCCATGATGGCACACATGCCTGTAACCCCAGCATTTGGGAGACTGAGACAGGAGGGGTGCCAGATCCAAGGCTAGCCCGTGCGACATATCGAGACCATGTCTCAACAGCAGGACTTTGGGATCAGGCCCTTCTGTACTCAGATTGTGGTTCCACTGCTTTGAAGAGTTCTGATGCCCTGACCCACAGGGCCCTGTGTCTCCTCACCTGTGAAACAGGCGGGGACACCAGCTGAGGAGCGTACGAGATCGAGGAGTAGATAAGATGATAGGATGAACACACTGGCACAGTGGGGCTAGAAGGGGTGTGTGTGTGTGTGTGTGTGTGTGTGTGTGTGTGTGTGTGTGTCTGGCCTGCAAGTCAGGAGAGGAGACTTAATGCCAGGCTGGAGTGCATGCCCCCCAGGGGGAGAGGAACTGACCTCACTGCTGTGTTCAAAGTTAGGGGAAATGTTTTTGGTTTATCACAATATCAATGAGCAAACTTAATCCCCAAGTATGGTATTCTTCCAGTAAAGCATGAAGGACTGTGGCTAGCTTGGAGAGAGGCACACTGGGATGGGCCAGTAAATGGAGGAGGGAGTAAATGGGTAAACATGAGTGGACGTGTCTTTGAGGAGCCTGGAATCAGAATGAGGCTAGGGGAGCCCCACTGAGAGACTGTGTCGCTGAGGAACTGAGTCGTCTCTCTTTGTCCCCACCTGCAGCGTCCTGCTTGTAGCCACTGGTTTATCAGTCCCCAAACTGGTTGACTTCCCTGGCTCCGAGCATGCGGAGGGTTACGAGTCCGTATCCGTGGACCCGGAAGACTTTGTGGGTCAGAATGTGCTGATCCTGGGCCGTGGGAACTCAGCCTTCGAGACAGCAGAGAACATCTTGGGTGTCACGAACTTCGTCCACATGCTGAGTCGCTCGCGGGTTCGGCTCTCCTGGGCCACCCACTACGTTGGAGATGTCAGGTATGCTCCATCCCTGCTTGTGCGTTCTATGCTATCCATCCTGTACCAGTCTGTTTCCCGACACTGTAAGAAGATGTCTGAGGCGGGGCTTCATGCCTTCAGCAGTCCGGCAGTATGTTGCTCTCTCTAACAAGGGCTCACCAGCATCTACCTCAGAGCAGGTGCTATCACAGCAGCAGGCACATATGCCAGAGAGAAAGATTGCAGAACAATACCGGAAGCCAGAACAAGGGGGAGGTCGGGCTCCCTTCCTCTATAGCAACCCTCTATCTGGAACTAACAGGGGACACCAACAGAACTGTCTTAATCTCTTCAAGGGCATTACCCCAGTGAGTTGCCACTAGGATCTTAAGGTTCTACCTCCAAGGGCCTGGGGATATAGCTAAGTTTGGTAGAGTGCTCGACTCCCATGTACTAAAACCCTAGATTCAATCCCCAGGTCCACATAAGCAAGGTGTGGTGACGCACACCTGTAGTCTCAACTCAGCGCTCAGGAGGTGGAGGCTGGAGGATCAGAGTTCAAGGTCATCCTTGGCTACTTAGTGAATTTGAGGCCAGCTTGGGCTACATAGGATCTTCTCTTTACCAAAAAGAAAAAAAAAGGAGAAGAGAAGAATAAAGTTCACCACCTCCCAGTATTACCTACAAAGCCCCACAGGAGGGAGCCCCCCCCCACCCTCACCAGCATTAGACAGCCCCCCTGAACCTTCTTTCCTCTCCGGCCTGCTCGTGGGGCCCCCAGAGCCATCAACAATGGCCTGCTGGACACCTACCAGCTGAAATCGCTAGACGGACTCCTGGAGTCGGACCTGGAGGATCTGGCCCTCGTGAAGGACAGCAAGGGCAAGTTCCACATCACCCTCAGATTCTTCCTGGAGGAGGACAACAGCATCCAGAGTGCCGACTCCATCCCCCTCCCCCAGGATGACAACGACAACTTCGCCATGCGGGTGGCCTACGACCGTGTCATCCGCTGCCTGGGCTGGAAGTTCAACTTCTCCATTTTCAACCAGTGAGTCCAAGTGGGGTGGAGGTGGGGACCCCTCACCAGCACCTTTCGGAACTCCCTGGGGACTCGGTAGACTCCAGAAGAGCACTGCAAGAATGGAGGGAGACACCAAGGGCCTTGTCTCCAGCAACTCTTCTTATTCCTAACAACCCTCTCCACTGGCAGGTCCCTCCGACTCTCCTCAGGGACTGAGTTCAGCAAGAAGTACCCACTGATCAGAGCTAGCTATGAGTCCAAAGGAAGCCGGGGTCTCTTTATCCTTGGGACGGCCAGCCACTCCGTGGACTACCGGAAATCTGCTGGCGGCTTCATCCATGGGTTCCGATACACAGGTGAGCCTGGCTGAAGGACCACTCTCCCAGGACTTCCGACTTCCAGAAGCAGCAAAGGGATGTTTTCGTGGTCCGGGGATATGTCTAGGAAAAGCCTAACAGTCGGTGTCTCTAAGGGTAGCCTGTGACATGCTTAGTCCCACGCAGTTTGAATGGAGGTGTGTTCACGGGGATGGGTGGTCTCACACATGCCACTTTCACAGGGCTAAATAAGGCAGTACCCTAGTGTGTGTCCCTGTGAAGCAGATCCCACAGCATGTGGGAACACCTCAGTGAAAGTCCCAACGGGTTATGTCAATTCTCTTTTGAAACTTCCAGTACGGAACATGTTACTCTTCTATTATCTTGATAATGTTTGCCTGTAAAATACAAAAAAAAAAAAAATTTTTTTTCAGTAATTTGACGCCTGAGGACTAGCTCAGTGGCAGAGCACTCATATAGTGTACCTCAATATGATGATGATGATGATGACGATGATGATGATTCCATTTATTGCATGAGAATAATTCCCAACAAGAAACTGATGCTTTGTGACGTTAAGGATAAACGGAAAATGAAAAGGGAAGGAGAGGAGTAATTGCCAAATGTTGAGTATCTTCTAGAGGCTGAGGACATGCATCCCTGCAGGACCACTGGCACCCTTCACGGTGGCTAGAAAACCTTTCTTTTTATTTTCTTTCTTCTTCTTTTTTATTATAATTAGTGTGTGTGTGTGTGTGTGTGTGTGTGCGCATGTGCGTGTGTGTGTGTGTGTGTGCATGTGTGTATGTATGTGTGTGCATGTGTGTGTGTGTATGTGTGTGCATGTGCGTGCGTGTGTGTGTGTGTGTGTGTGTGCATGTGTGTGCATGTGTGCATGTGTGTGTGTGTGTGCATGTGTGTGTGTGTATGTGTGCGCGTGTGCATGTGTGTGTGTGTATGTGCGTGCGTGTGTGTGTGTGTATGTGTGCGCATGTGCGTGTGCGTGCGTGTGTGTGTGCGTGTGTGTGTGTGCGTGTGTGTGTGTGTGTGTGCGTGTGTGTGTGTGTGTGCGTGTGTGTGTGTGTGTGTGTGTAATATGCGGCATGCATGGGGAAGTCAGAAAATAACTTGCAGGAAGTCCGATCCCTCCTTCCACCATGGGATCAGTCCTTCAGTGTGCATAGCAAATGTTTTTATCCACTGAGCCATCTGGCCAACACAGCCTTTGTTTTTTCTGAGGAAACATCTGAGGGTCAGAGAGATCTGTTCGTGCTTGATTTGGTTTCTGGTTTTTAGAGAGTGTCCTTTCCTGCCCTTTTCTCCCCTCCGTGGAGGAAGCAGTGGACTGAAGCAGCTGAGTGAGCAGTTTAGCTGTTACCCACATTTTTTCGGGGTCAGGTGCCATCAGCTTGGTATGGATTTTACTTGCAGTGTTTGCTTTGAGTTCAGTGGATGGAGGGTCGAGTCTATAATCCTTCTTACCAGGGCTCCAATAGAAAGCTTTCACTCAGCCAAGCGGTGGTGGTGCATGCCTTTAATCCCAGCACTCTGGAGGCAGAGGCAGGCAGATGTCTGTGAGTTCGAGGCCAGCCTGGTCTACAGAGCGAGATCCAGGACAAACTCCAATGCTACATAGAGGAAACCTGTCTTGAAAAACTAAAAAAAAAAAAAGAAAGAAAGAAAGAAAGAAAAAGAAAACTTTCACTCAGGGGCCTGAATGTTGTTCTGTGTATCCTCCACCATGAGCCTAGGGTCCACAGTGCTGAGGCCAGAGAAAGAAAGATGACCTGTAAGAAGTAATGAATGGTAAGGGACTGGAGAGATGGCTCAGTGGTTAAGGCACTGACTGTTCTTCCAGAGGACCCGGGTTCAATTCCCAGCACCCACATGGCAGACAATTATAACTTACAACTGTCTATAATTCTAGTGCAGGCAAAACACTAATGCACATGAAATAAAATAAATAAATTATTTTTTAAAACAGGAAGAAGTAATGGTAGTAAAGCATTTGTATTAAGATCAGGGTATGGTAGCCCAGGCTAGCCTCAAATTCCCAATCCTCCTGCCTCAGCCTCCCTGGTACTGAGATCACAGATGTGCACTGCCACACCTGGTCTGTGTTTTGTTTTCTTCGTGAAGACAATAAGGCAGATGGTGTGGATGGAGAGCGATGGTGGGGCCGCTGTGAAGATCTTCATACCCAGCGGTTTTCTTTGTGACATAAAAAGAGGGAGTGGCAAACCCAGCGCAGACTCGTGGGTCCTCATGCCCTTCTGCACGTGGAGACTTGTGCCCCCACCTCCAGGTTAGGGTGGGCACTGTGGGGACAACTGAGCTGCCTCTGCTGGCTGATGCTTTAGAACGACAGTCTCCGGCTCTCCTGGCAGGTGGCAGTGGTAAACCCGTAAGCTCATCTGAGCATCCCTGGAGGTCAGCTGCCAACCCCCTGGCTTGCATCTTCAGAAGCAGAAAGGTGTTAGTGGGAGAGCCTACTTGCAGCCTCACATGTCCTCAGGTGGTGGCACCTAGCGTGACCCCTTAGCCCGTGGAGTGGGTGCCATATTGCCTGGCCACTACTACCTAGGCCACATCCAGACCCTAGGGGCCTTGAGTCCCCCAGCCTCCTGTTTCCATCTAGTTTGATGGCTTGCTATCACCTCAGGCCTCGGTTTTACTCTTTCTGACCCTCTCCAGCTGGCAGGGAGCACTACGTAGTAAGTCCAAGGCCAGCCTGGGCAACTCAGACCCTGTCTCAAAGTGAAAAGAGCTAAGAATGTAGCCTAGTGACAGAGCAGTTGTCTAACGTGCACAAGGCTCCCGGTTCCTTCCACAGTACCAGAAACAATGGGGAAAAAAGCTCGACGTTCTGAGTCTTGTTCTTGCATGATTTCTCTTCCACCTCCTGGAAAGTCCCACGCCTCAGCATGCTGTCACCCACTCTGCACAGGTCTTGCTTTCTCGAGTGCCAGGCTTGTTCTCCGTCCCAGGACCTCCCAGGCTCCTCCAGCGTCAGCTCTTACACCTTGCAAACTCAGCTTGACCACCCGTCTCCTCCAGGAAGCCAGAGGCCTAGAACAGAGGCCCACCGTGGCTCCCTTCTTATGAACGCCTGATTGTGGCACATCCTCATTGCGCTGGGGTGTTGGATTAGCTTTGGAAGAACAAGTGTCTGTGTTAGGCCATTCCGCGACAGGGTAGAACAGCCCCGGGTGGAAAGAAAACCACCTTGCTGCTGGTTCGGGCAGCCATCGCTTTCTACAAAAGATCTCAGGACAAGACAGGGACAGGTAGATTTGGGCTGAAAAGGAGAGAAGCAGCCTGAGTGTCCATTGGGCTCTAGAGAGAAATGGGGAGGTGGAACGCTCTGTGTCTGGGTTGGATGCACCCAGTGTAAAGGATGGCAGTTGGCCGGGGAATTTCCATGTGCAGATGGCCTCAAGCAAGGGTGGACCACTCAGACCCAAATCCACCCCCACCCATACTTTGCCCGATACCCAAGAGACAGAATCAGAGGGTCCCTGACTGTAGGTGACTGTGAAGAAAGAACATTTGTCATCGGCCTTTTACACACAGCTCTCCCTGCCACTGTTCCCCAGGCCTGAGCCTCCCTCCAGTGAGCCAGGATAAAATCTTGGCCCTTCCTCCCTCTGGCCATTTCAGTGCGTGCTGTCCACCGGCTCCTGGAAAATCGGCACCATGGCATCGCCTGGCCGTCCACAGAGCACCCCATCACACAGATGACCAGCTCCATCATTCGGCGTGTAAATGAGGCTTCTGGGCTGTACCAGATGTTCAGTGTGCTGGCTGACATCATCCTGTTGAAGGAGTGAGTGGCCCTTCCCACTCCATCTCCCCAGACCCCGCTTTACCCATATACCCTGCCCCTTACTTCTGGTACTATTCTGGGTGCTGAGTGGCCCAGTTGTTTCTTGTGCAAAGGAGGCCCGCAGAGGCTAAAAAATCTACACTGGCAGGGAAATCAGTGAGGTAAATACCTCAAGGGCCGTTATGGATTTCTTACTGTGTGGTTTGGGAAGTTAGTTAAGCTCTGTGCTTTCTTGCCTTATCTGCAAAATGAGCATAGCTCCCTTGCAGCATTGAAGGGTGAAGATAAGAGTCCCCTCAGGCAAGGACCAGGTTGTCCCTTTTAGATGAAGTGATTGCTGGCAAATCACGGGACACACAGAGCCCGAGGACGCAGTGCAGGATGTGTGAGGAGAGAGCAAGGGGAGACTCATAGAAGACAGGCAGGTGAGACATAGAGAAAGACCCCTGAGGCAGAGGACATGCCCTGATCCAAACCCTGGCCTCTCCACAGGAAGTTCAGGGACACAGGAAGTCCAGGAACTCAGCACACCACCTTGTTTCATCCTCAGCTCCCCATCCATGAGTACCAGAGCTGTCTAGAGCAGAGTGCGCTTGGCAGGACCCAGTGCGCAGTCGTATCCCAGTCCTGTGGCCCAGCAGCCTCCCACCACAGTCAGTCTGCCCTCAGTGCAGCCACCAGCCATCCTTTAAAAAGAGAGTCACACTGTTGTCCTTGCCCCCGCCGCTCCCCACAGGCCAACAGCTACCCTTCTCCATCCACTTAAACCCACAATCACCCCACACCTCCTTTACTCATGCCCCGTGACCTCCCTGACCCCATGACTCTCATCTCTACCTACAGTGACAAGCTCCTCCCCACTCTCCCCGGGTAGACCAGAAGGCACAGCTGCCACAGTGACATAATAGGGTGGGCGATTCCTGCTTAGTCCACACCCCTGCACCTGTGGAGAGCTGGATGTACCCACCCCACACCCAGTGAGCCCGCACCCCTCCCTGGTCCTGAGTTCCCCCTGGGGTCCCCCAACAGGAATGCTACAGCCTTTGAGTACCTGGAGGAGTTCCCCATGCAGATGCTGGCCCAGCTGGAGACGCTCACAGGGAGGACAGCGCGCCATGGGCTCTTTGTCATCAACATGGAATATGGCCAAAATTTCTCTGGGCCTGAGAAGGATGTCTTCTATTACGACCGGTCCGTGGCACACATAGAGGATGCCTGGCGTTCGAACTTCCTCCACCCTGTCATCTACTACTATAGACACCTCCCCACTGGTGAGCTGGCCTCCACCCTCCCTGAGCTCAGCCTCTTCGGAGGGGGCTCTTCTCGGACCACCTCTGTCTATACAGCAGTCACCCCAAGGCCATACATAACGTCTGCAGCTGACCAGGGGCACCCCAGGGGACCTACGGAAGCCATGCATGATCTCTGGGCACCATGTCATGAAAAGGGTGCAGTCATGTTGTGGTGTCTCCAGGTGGGGGGAGGTGCTGCAGCTAGTGGTAAGAAGAATGGGTGAGGGCAGGCAAGATGACTGGGTGGGTAGAGGCACTTACCAGGGAAGCCTAGAGACCCAAGTTGCAATCCCCGGAACCGACATAAAGGTGGAGGAAGAGAACCGACTCCACAGAGTTGACCTCTGACCTCCACACAGGCTCTGTGGCGTGTGTGCCCATACAAATAGCAACAATAACAATAACCAGACAAGGGCTAAGCAGGCCAGCACAGTACAGAAATGTCACACCAGATCCCTAGTTCTGTCCCCACAGCAGTATGGTCTTGGCCATTTTACTTAACCTCTCTGAGGCTTGCTTCCTGGTCTATAAAATGGGATGGTGATAATTATTCCATACAGGATCGCAGGAGGATATCCACAAAATGCCAGGAGGGCTAGGGCACAGCATAGGTACCATGCCTTTTAGTTCAGAGCTTGAAGGGCCTCAGGTTGAAGAGGGTGCACCAGGCAGGTGCTTGTCACCCCAGTCCTGGGGAGGCTGGGGCAGGTTTGCCACAAACTCAATGCCAGCCTGGGCTGTATAATGAGCCCCTGTCTCAGAACTGAGTATGGTGAGGCACTCCTCGGTAGTCCCAGCATTTGGGAAATAGAGGCAGGAGGTCAGCCTGGGCTACATGAGACCCTGTCTCAAAAGAAGAAAGTGGGCCCAGCTGGGGATTGTTCCCAATGGCAAGTGCAGCTTCATCAGGCAGAAGGCGGGGTGTGGGGAGTACAGAAGTCGGCTGCCCAAACACTGGCCTGCTAGGACTGGTCACCTCCTAGAGTCCAGTTTCCAGGGATGTTAGGCCAGTGGCCTGTGGGCTGAGCCCTTAGAGGGCAGGATCCACAGCAGGGGGAAGTGAGCCTAGATGAGCCCTTGTAGTCAATGGTTCCTGTGCTACACCCAGAAACCACAGGCAACAGGTCTGGTTCCTCTTCCTCCTGCTACATGAAAGTGGCTGGTGGCCAAGCTGACCACAGCCTGACAGAAGCACCATGAGAGCAGGGGGCGGTGCCGGTATGAAGGGCCTGGTCCTCATGCCTCCCTCCTCCCACAGAGCAAGACATGCGATTCCGGCCTGCACAGTGGCTCCTGCCTCGGCCCGTGGCCATCCATCACATAGTGGAGGACTTCCTGACTGACTGGACAGCCCCTGTGGGGCATATCCTCCCCCTGAGGCGCTTCCTGGAAAACTGTCTGGACACAGATCTGCGAAGCTTCTATGCAGGTAACCAAGTTCCCAGGAGGGCAGAGGGTGGGGCAAATGCCTTAGTGTTAGAGTGCTAGTATGCGTGGGTTTGAGCCCTAGCACAGGAAACGGGAAGGGAGGAAAGGGAAAAAAGAAGGCAGGAGACTATGTAATGAACTACAGACTATCAAAATTGATTGTACAATTTTGAAAAAGATGCAGATGAAACAAATGGAAATAAAATAGTCTTGAAATGAGAAGCTTGGTATAAGGAGCTGGTGGTGCATTAGACAGAGGTAAAGAGAGAATTGGTGAATTGGAAGGCAGATCTGACAGGGAAATACAAAGAGGAGCCTAAGGCAAGAACTCAAATGATCTAGAGGAGAAAGTGATAGAAACAAGCCAATATTCTTGTCCTTATAAACCCCTGGATGTTCCAAACCCAATGCCTTTTCTATTATTGAGAGGACATGTCAGACGCCTATCAAATGTGCGACACTATTCATACCAAGTCAAGTTAGAGACCGACTCTAGTCTAGCCCAAGAGCGAGCATCCTGCTTTATCCTGAGTCTACTTTGAAATGATGGTTTAGGAGCTGATCTGCTACTGAGTGACGTCCCGGCCCTGATCTTCCTATCTCCGTTGCCCATAGAGCCAGAGCTGAGTACCTTTGCCCTTCTAGCGGTCTGTGAGCAGCCAACCTTGATCATACACCAACCCCTGAAATGCCTAGAAACGAGAGCCCTCAGCTCCAAACGGCCTGCCCATTCCCCGAGGCTTCAGGAGTCCACAAAAGTCCGGTGGCATATTCCCACCCCGAGTCACGGTTCCACTGATGTATCCTCCCAGCTCTGTTACTGCCCTGAGCTGGGATGAATCCTTACAGCAGAAGGCCAGCTGCCATTTACCCATGGGACAGCTGCTAGCTCGGTCCTCAGCCTCTTCTGGGAATCGGGAACCCTGGGTCCCACAGAGAGGTGACATCATCAGAAGGTCATGCTGGCTAAATGGCCATGTGGCTGCCCTTGCATCTTTTCTCTTCCCTGGCAAGGCCTCTGTCCTGGGGGTCAGAGAGGAAGCAAGAAAGGATGCCCCATGTAACCCTCACAGTATCTTTCCTTTTTTTTTTTTTTTTCTTTTTGGTTTTTCGAGAAAGGGTTTCTCTGTGTAGCTTTGCGCCTTTCCTGGAACTCACTTTGGAGACCAGGCTGGCCTTGAACTCACAGAGATCCACCTGGCTCTGCCTCCCGATTGCTGGGATTAAAGGCATGCACCACCGCCGCCGCCGCCGCCGCCGCCGCCGCCACCACCACCACCACCACCACCACCCAGTTATAGTATCTTTCTTTGTATTGCGCCCCCCTTTTTTTAGCTAAAAATAATAGAGAAAGTGAAAAGTCTTCCCCCAAAGATGCAGAAGGACTCTATGAAGGCTCTGACACTCTGCCTTCCCGTCCCACCTCTAACTCCTTGAGGGACTGAGCCGGTGTCTGTCTCATCACCTGTTTCTCAGTCAAAGCTATGCAAGTGTTGTTGTGTTTCCCCTGCACACCATGGAGGCTATGGTCCAAGACCCCCAGTGAATGTCTCATAGATGGAACCAAATTTCATGTTTTCAGCCAGTGCCTTGGAGTCACTCACTTCAGGGAATCCCATACTGAAATCTCACCACAGACTTGGCGATTGCTGGCACAACACTTTGATGTTAGAATGTGTGTGTGTGTGTGTGTGTGTGTGTGTGTGTGTGTGTGTGTGTGTGTGCTTTTTCCCCTCTCATGAATTCCCAGATGGAAGGTGCATTTTACCATAGCATTTAGCAACTGCACACACAACACAAGACTCTGGTTGGGATTTTTGTTTTTGTTTTGTTTTGTTTTCGAGACAAGATTTATCTGTGTAAGACTTTTTTGTTTTTCTTATTCTGAATAGAACTATCAGCTTTTCACTTTAAGGAAGTACTTTATGGTTTCCCTTTGGCCTAGCCAAATTGCTGCATCTCTGCTCTTAAATTTTGAAGCCATTATTAAACAAGATAAAATAAGACAACTTAGTTTGCTTTCCATTTCTCTGATAAAACACCGTGACCAAAAGCAATGAGGGAGGAAAGTGTTTATTTTGCTTACACTTCCAAATTACAATTGATCGTGAATGGGAGACAGGAACCTGGAGGCAGAACTGAAGCAGAGGCAATGAGGAAACACCCTTACTGTTGTGCTCCCCATGGCTTGCTGAGACAGCTTTCTATGCAGCCCAGGACACCTGCCCACAGTGAACTGGACCCTCCCACACCAACCTCTAATCAAGAAATGCCCCCGCAGACTTGCCTACTGATGGCAGCTGATGAAGGCAACCCTTCAATTCAGCCAGCCTGGTGGCACACGCTTTTGATCCCAGCACTGGAGAGGTAGAGGCAGGCGGATCTTGAGTTTGAGGCCAGCCTGGTCTGCATTGTTGAGTTCCAGGATAACCAGAGATACGTAGAGAGACCCTATCTTTAAAAGAAAGAAAGAGAGAGAGAGAAGGAGGGAGGGAGGGAGAGAGGGAGGGAGGGAGAGAGGAAGGGAGGGAGGAGAAGAAAAAGTTCTCTCTTCCCAGATGACCCTACTCTGTGTCAAGTTGACAAAAAGACTAATCAGCACATAAAGGTTCCCTAACTCAGGTCCATCATGACATTGTGATGGTCCTGTTGATGGAAATGCTACTAAGTGTGGGTATACAATATGATAACCAAGATGGCTACTAAGTAACTAGTGGGTGGAAAGTATAATCAAAAGTGGATGCAGGAATGACTCCCATCCCTGTTAACCAGATGGCTACCAAGTAACTCATGGGTTGGGTATAGGAGGTGGCTACCTGGACTAAGAAATGATTCCCATCCTATAAATCAAGATGGTTACTAAGTAACTATGGATGGCTAGATGATTCTCATCCTGGGTGGGCTGAAACAGAAAGGATCTAGATTTCATCACACTACGGGATACACAGTTTAAGACCTGAATAGTTTATTTCTCCAATTTCAGTCCAATTGTCAGATGGTTGACTGTGGTGAATGACTGAAACCATGGGGCGGAGGGGGGGGGGGTAAACATGGCACCGGAAGCATGACCACCCAACTTAGCTGAAGGCTTTCTTCCCACCTCCCGACTTACTACAAGGAACTGCCTCTAGCTTTTGTGAAGGTTCTTCCTGGTGCCTTCGCTTTGCTCAAGGATTCTTTTAGTGGTTTCTTCAGATTTCAGAAATAATACATACCCATAGCTATTTTGTCACTGATGAAATTTAACACGTGCATCGGTGTTCTGCTGTGGTTCAGATAAGGATTTTCCCGTTTTATCAGTTTTTCTTCCCACAGTTGGGAAGAGGACTCGTGTGTGTGTGTGTGTGTGTGTGTGTGTGTGTGTGTGTGTGTGTGTGTGTGTACACACGTGTGCATGCTAGTGTGTGTATATGCAACATCTCTCAAGAATTGAGTCTCTTCTTCTGCCAGTACTCAAACTCAGATCGTCAGACTTGGTAGCAAACACCTTTACTATTGAGCCATCTTACCAGCCCATGAAAAGGACTTTGTGTGTAGTGTTTGCAGCTCAGATATTGTTACAGGCAGTGCTGAGTGGGGCTGACTGCTGAGCTCCCTCCACACAAAGGCCAGCTTCCAGATGGACAGCTGAGGGTCATCTCTGGAGAGGTGGCTCCTGCCCTCTGGTTCCTTGCCAAGTTCTGGGACCCATCATTTCTGTGGTTTGCTTCATTTTGATATCCTGACCCATGACCTCTTCAGGTCATATGTCCCCAGCATGGCCTCTCCATGCTTCTCTCCACTACCTGACCTGACAGCTTCTTTTGCTTTTTTTTTTTTTTTTTTGGTTTTTCGAGACAGGGTTTCTCTGTGTAGCTTTGCGCCTTTCCTGGAACTCACTTTGGAGACCAGGCTGGCCTCGAACTCACAGAGATCCGCCTGCCTCTGCCTCCCGAGTGCTGGGATTAAAGGCATGCGCCACCACCGCCCGGCTTCTTTTGCTTTTGTACAGAGTCCTGTTTCCTGTTCACCCTCACACGCCAGAGGCTGCCCCCCTTTTGCCAGCAGGGGTACCTGAAGATGCAGGGACTTTCAATCACCAAGAGCCTTCAGCAACATGGTGTGGAAAGCAGGCTCCTGCAGGACTACACAGCCATGGAGGACAGCAGCGGGTGGCCTGGTGACCACCCCTCGGCTCCAGAGCCTCTGACCCAGTCCCTTGACAGCAACAAGGAGGAGCTCTGAACATCCTCGTCCAGGCTATGGAGTCTGGCGCCTCCCCGGGGCCCTTTTCCCAGGCTCTCCCACCTTTCCGGCTGCTGAGGACCATCAGAGACAACAGACGACAGGACAGGCTATGGAGTGCCGAAGGCTGGGACACGGTCACACAGTGGCGTCCCTTCCTGTGCTGGCCCCTGGGTGCTAGATGCAAGGTTAAGAGGGGGTTATCTTCTGTCAGGTATGAGATGCCTTCCACAGCCAGCCTGTGTCCAACTAGGAGCATCACTAAGTACCATGTTGGTCTGGTGTGTCTGCTGCTAGGACCAATCTCCTTTCCCTTCTCGTTCACTCTGCAGATGGGCTTGGATCTGCCCGGGGAACAGCTCTCAGCTGAAACCCCCTCATTTCCATAGCGGGGATGTTAGAATGAAAACTTGAGGTCTTCAGCCATGGGGGTAGACAGTTGGGATCTCTGCTCCTCAGCACAGCTATGGACCCAACTCAGATGGCTCTCAGCAGAACTCCAGTCAAGCTGGGCATCACGGGCCCAGAGCGCTGGCATAGGGTAGAGACAGCCAACTCCTGCAAAGCTGTCTGCCCAGCTGGCTTCTCAGGAGCAGGGCACCTCAGAGCTGTCCTGTGCCCAAGATCACACTCCCGGGGATCAGCAGCCTCTGTGTCCCTCTCCCACATCGCTGTCTGGCATCCTGAGCCATGTCTTCCTTGAGACCTGCCTGGGCAGGTTTAAGGTGTTGTTGTGCCTGCTGCCTTGGGCGTGGAAACATTGACACCTGCCGGCTCCTGAATGCCTTGATGTTCCTCTCTTCCTCCTTGCCTTTCCTTACCAGAATCCATGCTCAGCCCACAGATTAGTCTCACTGATGAATAAGCCATGAGGGAAGCATTGCCCACAAGGGCAGATGGTGATCACATGATTTCCGACAGCCCCCGAGCGCAGGTACTGTTTCTCACCAGCCCTCTTATTCTTCATGGAGTCCACTCAGACATCCAGGGACATGTCAGCCCAAAGCCCCTTCCTGAGAGCGTCCTCTTCCCCACGGAAGAGTCTTGTCTGGGTCCAAGCCCTCTTTTTTTTTTTTTTTTTTTTTGGTTTTTCGAGACAGGGTTTCTCTGTGTAGCTTTGCGCCTTTCCTGGAACTCACTTGGTAGTCCAGGCTGGCCTCGAACTCACAGAGATCCGCCTGGCTCTGCCTCCCGAGTGCTGGGATTAAAGGCGTGCGCCACCACCGCCCGGCCGGTCCAAGCCCTCTTGACCACCTGACCTGCCTGCAGCCACCCTCCTCTCCGGTGCTTACCAGATTCTAACAGGGCAATCCAACAACTTCATGCCATCAGGAGCAGGAGGAGCTGTGTACCCCTGTACCTACTTAGGGTAGTTTACATGGAGCCAAACCTAACTGAATCATCCCTGACCCAGGATGTCAGAGTCCCCATATTTCACCCAGGTTGATTGACAAGCCAAACTGGGACCCTGCCATCCCACCCTCTTTTCCAAAGCATTTTTAAATGAGTCATTGATTCAGTGCTACCCCATGAAATCGAATCCTGTTCCTCACATCTCACCCTCCACTCACCAAGGCTGGCTGAGCCACTAGTTCAGTGCCTTCGCAAGCAGCTAGCTGGCTGACACCCTTGTATGTGACATCTGCTGCTTCCTGTCATCTGCCAGATCGTTGATTCCGTCAAACTATCGGGCAGGCTCATTTGTTTTTAACACGGAGTTTCTGTTCTTGCTCAGTTGACTAGAGATGGCTTCTACTCCCCCCCCCCCATAGGGTTTCACCATGTCCTGGCCTAGTACTTATTACATAGCCCAGCCTGCACTTGGACTCATAGTAATTCTCCTGCCACCGCCTTCCAAGTGTTGGGATTATAAGCTTGAGCCACATAAGCTTTTTTTAAGATTTATTCTTAATTATGTGTACTTGTTTGTGTCTCTGTGTGGGTATGTGTACATGAGTGCAGGTACCCAGAGGCCAGAAGAGGGTGTCAGAGCCCCTTAAAGCTGGAGTTACAGGAGGTTGTGAGCCAGCATATGTAGAGGCTGAGAACTGAGTCTTCAAGTCCTCTAGAAGAGCAGTAAAGCGCTGAGCCAATTCCTCCGGGACCCCTCCCCCATAACTATATTAAAGAAATGATTAAAAATAAGGCAAACTGGATGTGGTACACACCAATATCCCGCACTAGGGTGGCCAAGGCAGGAAAATGAGGTTCAATCAAGGCCAGCCTGGAATACATGGAGAGTTCCAGGACAGTATGAGCAACTTAACATGATCCTGTTTCAAAAAGGAAAATTTTAAAAAGGCAAAAATAGGCTGAGTGTGGTGGTGCATGCCTTTAATCTCAGTACTCCCAAGGCACAGGCTGGAGAATCACTTGTGAATGAGTTCAAGGCCAGCCTGGTTGACCTGGCAAGTTCCAGGCCAGCTAGAGCGACATAATGAGACCCTGTCCCAAAAATAAATGAATAATTTTTTTAAAAAAAGCATGAGCAAGAATAATTATGGTGAAGGGACTAGTATAAATAAGTGAGAAATACTAAGTAATTTTTCATGATCATCTCTTAAATGGGGCAGGGAAGGACTGATGATGTGCCTATACATGTGACCTTACATGAGACAGGGCACCAGGTGAGAGGGAGCAGCAGCTGGAGCTGCTTGTGGCTGTGAAGATAGGAAACCACAGGGCCTTAGCAGTGGCGCTGCTGGGGCTGTGGGACAAGGTTCTCTTTTCCTCTTTTGATCAAGTTTGTGTTTATTTTTCAAATGTGATTATATACTACTGAAGTAAAAATACATTTATTTTTAAACCATTTTTTCTGCTCTTGAATTTTGGGATTTCTGGGAAGGAGTGGACATGAGAGCCCTTGCAAGGGGCTGTGTTCTGGTGTGATGGTCTGGGTGGTGCCCCGGGTGGGTTATCCTAGATGGAATCACTAAAAGGAAGGAGCACCACCCATCAGGATGTAGGCATGCTCGGAGGCAGAGTGTGGTAGACGCACCTGTAAACCCTAGCACCTGGGAAGTGGGAGGTAGAGGCAAGAGGACCAGAAGTCTAAGGTCACCCTGGGATACACAAGACCCTGTCTTTAAGAAAAGAAGAAACAGCACATCCCAGCCCAGGCACAGGCAGAAGCAGGCGGGTATCTGTGAGTTCAAGGCCAACCTGGTCTACATAGGGAATTCCAGACCAACAAGCTACATAGTGAGATCTTGTCTCAAAAAAGGAGATGGGGAGCTGCCCAAGCTAAAGGAAGTGAGAAGTTAAGCCATGTGCTTCTCACATGGAGTCTCTAAACTAACCACTGAGCACAGCATGGCCATCCTTGGAAACATCTCCCAAATGATAAGAAATCAGGCAAAATTCCTCCTCTGAAAGAGGCTCCTCAAGGCTGATCTACAATGCCTTGGATAGCCCCAAATTCCTTCAGTCTGATAAAAGTGGGGGTGTCCCTGAAGTCTGCCTGGAAACCAGTGGGCTAAAAAGTGAATTTGTGGCCTGGGGATGTGGATCAGTTGCCTAAAATGCAAAATCAGTTGCCTAAAATGCAAAATCAGTTGCCTACAAAAGCCCTGAATTTATGATTATCCAGTATGGTGGCACACAGCTGGAATCCCAATGCTTTCAGGAGGCAGAAGCAGGAGAATCAGAAAGTTAAGGTCTTACTCAGCTATATAGTGAGTTTGAGGCTAACCTAGCATACATTAGATATTTTTTAAAAGCCCACATAAACTAGATATAATGTTAAAATCCTATAATCCGCACTTCGGAGTTGAAGGGAGAGGAATCAGTAGTTCGAAGCCAACCTCAGCCACATTTGAGTTTGAAGGGACTACATAGACTTACCTCAAACCACACACACAAGAAACCACGTGGCAGAGACCTGAGACCTGCCTGCAACCGCAGGAGACCTTAAACCCGGACCTAGGCACACCAGGGAAGTATAAGACCTGCGTGAGTAATTAAGTCCCAGTCACCAATAATGCGTTGGTGTCACTTTAAGGAAAGGAACCAAAGCACATCCCCTCAGTGTCATTTCACCAAGAGTGAGATTGATTTGAACTCTCGACTTCATGCTCCCTCTGTCTTCCGTCCTCTGTCTGTCTGTGGTATGAGTCTGGATCTGTGCCTGCCTGAAGGCTGTCTCTCTCTGAGTGTGTCTGAGTGTGTGTCTTTAAGGAAGGGCTTTGCTCTCTCTTTTATTGGATAGTGCAGAAAGCTGTTTTATGGGGGAAGGAACGAGGCGCTTTACAGAAATCTTGAACAGAGTTTTCCAAGGGATTAAGTCACTGGCTCCCACTGACACCAACTGACCCAGACCACAAACACCACTACAAACATCACTGTTTATCAAGCAATATCCGTGTGATGCAGTCAACATTTATGGATATTTTTATAAGACTGCTTCCACCATGTATTTGTTGTTTCCAGCAAATGATTATAGTAACATACATACACTACTCTTGGATCAGGGGCATGGAAAAGTACTTAGTTTAAGATTACAGCCAAGCATGGGTTTAGGTTGTAAAGGTGGATTCCACCGGAAATCCAAGACAAGTAACGTTGATTGTTACATTGTTCTCTTGAGGGCAGGTTAAACAGGCTGAGTACATAGAGGGACAGCACTCTTAGGTCTTAAGCGACTGCAAGGTGTGAGATACAGCACAAGTTCCAGTTTCTTAGAATGTAAGAGGCATTTTTAACATAATGCATTGCCACAGCACAGCTCCACCCCAACAGAGCCTGAGAGGCCCTGAGCCAAAACCACCCAGGCAAGCTACTACAGATTCCCGAATACAGAAACTTAGGGGCAGTGTTTGCCGCTTAGGCTGTCAAATGGATACGTTGTTACACAGCATCTGATGACTATACATGCTTTACACGGATTCCATTCTCACCAAGACCACCTGAGTAGAGATGACTGTCCTCACTCTAGAGTTAGACATTGTGAGCTGCTGCGTCAGGCACAGAATTGAACTGGGGTCCTCTGGAAGAGCAGTGCTCTTACCTGCCGTCTTTCTAGCGTCAAAGGTGTTTGGTTTTGGCTCACAGTTTGGGGGTACAGTCAGCCATGGTGGAGAAGGCGTGGCCTCTGGAGGGTGAGGCTTCCGGTCACATGCATCCCCAGTTAGGAAGCAGAGAGAACTGGTTCTCAGCTCACTTCCTCCTTTTGCATTCAGTTGAGGAGCCCGGCTCATGGTATGTTTCTACCCACATTCTGGGTAGCTCTTCTCTCTTCCTTAAACCTTTCTGGAAACTCCTTCATAGACATGTTATGTTTCAAGGATGACTCTAAATACAATTCAATTGACAATGAGGATTAACTACCATGGATGGGCGCCTAGTCCTTACCATCCTCCACACAGGCTGCCTTCAAGTGAACAATGAGTGACAATGCTTTTTCCTTTTGTTGGGGTGCTGTGGTTATGCATGCCTGTTTCCTTTCAATTTTTTATTAATGTTTTCTTTTCTCACCAACTTCCATGGGTTTTGTTTATTGGGGGTTTTTGTTTTTTTTTTTTTTTTTTACATTTTATTTAGTGTGTGTGTGTGTGTGTGTGTGTGTGTGCGCTCACCACAGCAGTCATGTGGAGATCAGGACAACGTGAGAGAGTCAATTCTCCCTCCTACCATCTAAGTCCCAGACACTGAACTCAGATCACCAAACTTCTCAGCAGGCACCTTTATCCACGGAGCCATCTTGCTAGCTCGAGAATTCTCAAACCTAGAAGGACATACAGTTCCCACGGTGGGGTTGGGGGAGGTGAAGGAATAGCTGAGTGATACTGATTACATACCAGGTACCGACTGAACCCCCTCCTCCACAAAGGCATGGCTGGTGACTCTGAGTGGGAAGGGGACCCCTAGACATCAGCCCTTGGCAGGTCCCAGTCTCAGTGCCCTCTGCTCCACAGCCAATCAGAACATCAGCCACCAAAGCCAAACTGGATTCTTCTCTCAAAAATAAGCCATCGACGGCATCTTTCTGCTGCAGATGCTTATTTTTAAAATACGGGGGGAAACGCTGACTGGATAAAGATCTCTGTCAGACTGCGGGCTTTAAAAAAGCATTTCGTTCAAGCTGGCAGCCCAGACGGAATGTAAATCTGCTACAGAGCCAAGCTGATGGGCAAGTAGGAGATGCTGCAGTCCAAGTGTCTAGTCCAAGTGCATCATACGACCAATCCATCAACCCCAAATAAAAAATAGCACGCAACAGATGTACTTCAGCAAGGAAGAAAGGAACAACAGGCGAGCCTGTCTCGCTCCCTCCCCTGGTCTGCATAAATAAGTCTGCTTTGCTGGCTCTTCCTCAGAAGCCCCATTGCAAAATCTTCCACACGTCTGTCACCTGCTTCTTCATTTCTCTCTGAGATGCTATCATCGCTAACCTAGTCTCTCAAGTTGTTTCAAATCATCGGGAAATAATTGGATGCGGAAAAAAAAAAAAACCACCCTCAGGAAAAGACGACAGTGAAATATCTCAGAGTGTCCAGAGTGTGGCGTTATCGTCTGGCCTTGCGGTTTTGAAACAAAACAACCACCAAAACGAATGAGGTGATCTCTACCACCAGCTGCACTGAGGTTTAAACAAGTGTGTTGGGAGATGTACCCAGAAGCCTTGCTCTAAGACACTGCCATAGATTACAGACGGTCCCAACTCTGGCCACCACGGGGGGGTGTCCGTGCCCTCCTGTTGAATCATGGTGGGCCAAAACAGAGAGGTAGAAACAGCGATGCCCCAGGTACCCAGCACAGCCTTAGGAGATGGACAGCTCCCGCAGTGCCACCCTGTGAGGAAGACTCATGGAGAGAGAGGCCCACGAGCACGGGAGTGAGACACCTGGCTGGGCTGCCAGCCGGCTCCACAGCAGCCCTGCGAGTGAGCTACATGGAAACAGGTCCCCTGGCTTACTTGATTATCCCTAGTGCAGCATTTGGCAAACCTCCATCTAAAGAAATATTTCTATTAAAATTCATAACAGGAGCAAAATGACAGTCATGAAGTAGCAAGGAAAATGATTTTATGGTTGGGGGTCACCACAACATGAGGAACTGTATTAAAGGGTCCCAGCATTGGGAAGGTTGAGAACCACTGAGTTAAAGGGTACCGTGTGGAACAGAGAATCTCAGCAATTACCAAGTACTGCCCAAATTTCAGTTCTCTCTGAGTCCCTCAGCCTCCCCCCCCATGTCTCTCTCTCTCTCTCTCTCTCTCTCTCTCTCTCTCTCTCTCTCTCTCTTTCCTATACTCTCAGCATCTGAGAGACTGAGCATAAAGATCACAAGTTCGAGGCCATCCTGGGCTACACAGCAAAATCCTTTCTCAAAAATATTTCTAAAATTAAAAAAATAATGATAAAAATAAGGGCTAAGGACGTGACTTAGTTAGTAGGAGGGCCGGCCTGACATGCAGGAGATCCCAGCCCCACATAAGACAGGCTTGTTGGCGCCAGGAGTTCAAAGTCACCCTCCACTGTACAGCCTACTTGAAGCCAGCCCGGGCTCCATGACACTCTGCCTCAAAATTAATACCTAAATAAAGATAAAAAGCCTCATTTTACTCTTGGTGGGTTCTCTGCCTTATTCCCAGTGGGGTGGCCACTGCTGCACCAAACCTTAGACTCCAAAATAGAAGCCAAGTGACCTTGTGGGCCAGTGGTTCCTTTGAACAGAATGCCAGTCATCTCTACAGAAAGGAAGCGGGTCCCTTGAGAATAAAAACTCTTTTTTGAGATAGGGTTTCCCTATGTGCCACAGGCTGGTCTTTACTTATTTCGATTCTTCTGCCTCGGCCTCCTGAGTGCTAGG